GAACTATTTATTAAAAACCTCCAACGAAGCCGGCTGCTTTTTGAGAAGAGGTGGGACGTCTGTGTTTCTTCTGCTGCCCTACAGACCCTCCGGCAAGCCAAGTGGAACACTCCGGACCTGCTCCCTCTGACTGAGGACGTTAGAGCCATGCATGCACATATTGAGGTATGTCGACCTGAATATGTGCAAACCCTAATAAGTGAGCCAACGTCTAAGCATTGGTCTAAACTGGCAGTTTTGACTCTTTGTGAGGTCATCATTTTCAATCGAAGAAGGGAAGGTGAGGTTTCAAAGATGCCACTGACAGCCTTTACCTTAAGAAGTAAGACTGGGATCCATTCTGACATTGCTCTGGGACTGTCCCAACTTGAGAAAAAGCTGTGTCAGCATTTTCAACGCATTGAAATTAAAGGGAAAAGAAGTCGGAAAGTGCCGGTTCTTTTGACTCCTGAAATGATTGCTTCGATGGAGGTGCTGGTGGAGAACAGAAGGGCCTGTTCCATCTCTGACCATAACCCATACTTCTTTTCCCGCCCGGGCGCAGACACCCACATCAGGGGATCAGACTCCCTACGCCAGGTAGCCAAAGAATGTGGTGCGGTGCATCCAGAGATGCTATCCTCAACCAAACTTAGAAAGCACATAGCTACTATGTCTACAGTTCTCAATATGAAAGAGAATGAGATGGACATACTTGCCAACTTCCTCGGCCATGACATTCGCATCCACAGGCAATATTACAGACTACCAGAGGGGACACTGGAGCTGGCCAAAATCAGCAAAGTGTTGATGGCCATGGAGCAGGGAAGAGTGACGGAATTCGAAGGAAAGAGCCTCGACCAGATACAAATTGAGCCTGAAGGTAATTCTTGATATTATTAAAATATGTATGATTTTTTTCCCCTAAAGGCCACTTGTATTTTTATTTTCTGTGCGACAGGGAGAGCAGTAGAGATCCTCTCACAAACGGACGGGCTAAAAGAAACTTCAAGCGGAGAACCTTCAACCATTCATCCAGATGCACCCCATGGTAGTGGCAGTGCCCCTTCTGGTAAGTGTACCAGGTGGGGGATTACAGCCAGGCTGCTTGGTCCTCACCCTGGGAGTGTATATTGCTAATATATTTTTATTTCTCTCCCTAGAACGTGTAAGAAAGCCATGGTCTGCATCTGAGGTGAAGGCTGTGGAGAAGACCATGACACCTTTCATACAGACTGGAAAGGTCCCTGGGAAGTCTCACTGCCTGGCCTGCATTAATGCCTCACCAGATGACCTTAGACATCGGACATGGAGTGGCATTAAATTCTATGTCAAAAATAGAATCACTGCAATTCGAAAACAAAATCTAAAATAAAATTCCTTTAAAATAGTTGTTTGGTTTCTATTGACTGTTTTGTATTACTTAAAGTCTTGGTAAAAAAAGATTATGTCTATGGGTCCCATTCTGAACGGCCCTGTCAAAGGGACCCACCAGGTAACAAAAACGTGTATGTGTGTGTGTGTGTGTGCATGTCGGTCTGTAGCAGGATTGTGTGTGTGTGTGTGTGTGTGTGCATGTCGGTCTGTAGCAGGATTGTGTGTGTGTGTGTGCATGTCGGTCTGTAGCAGGATTGTGTGTCTGTGTGTGTGTGTGCATGTCGGTCTGTAGCAGGATTGTGTGTCTGTGTGTGTGTGTGCATGTCGGTCTGTAGCAGGATTGTGTGTCTGTGTGTGTGTGTGTGTGTGTGTGCATGTCGGTCTGTAGCAGGATTGTGTGTCTGTGTGTGTGTGTGTGTGTGTGCATGTCGGTCTGTAGCAGGATTGTGTGTCTGTGTGTGTGTGTCTGTGTGCATGTCGGTCTGTAGCAGGATTGTATGTGTGTGTGTGTGTGTGTGTGTGTGTGTGTGTGTGTGTGCATGTCGGTCTGTAGCAGGATTGCGAAAGATCTATTGAATAGATTGGAGCCGAAATTAGTTTGTAGACTGTGATGATAGGACGACCCTGTCAAAATGTTCAGATAATCAGTCACGCTGGCCCAGTATGCACCCTACGAGTCCATGATATACACATATTTTTAACTAAATAACAATATTGTGTCCCACCCATGTCATGATGCAACATGATTTACTACTTGTATTTGTGAATAAATTGTATTATTATTAGAAAGCCCCCAGTCTGGAGGTGGAATCAAACCTCTTGTACAAATGCTAACCACTGCCCCACTGCGACAACATAACAAATGGCCCTTGTCTTTAGACGTAAGCTCCCTTCAACCACACAAGGCCCTTTTTCATTTTCCATTCCCGTCACACCTTTGGGATTTCCTCACAAATTCCTGAATCGTGTCCAAAAACCTGGTCACACCGCACAGAGGCCCGGTGGCAGACTCTCACACCTCTTTACACTGCCTTTTTACAATGCATTTTAAAAGCATGTGTGTGTTTTTTTTATAGTGTGTGAGAGTAAACATCAGGACGAGCAGCTGCAGACAAACCCATCGAACAGTACAGCAGTGTGCGGTGGGTTTAGCTGCACGAAAACACACACACGGAAAACCAAACAGAACTTTATCGACGCGACAAATGACAACTTTGTGGCAGCGATTTTTTGTAAACTTGCAAAATGTGTTCAAAGTTTTGCCATGTTTTCAAGCAAGTTCAGTTAAGTACTTAAGTCCTTTTAACACACACACACACACACACACAGGTGAATACAGTTACAGTGATATTTAGTAAGTGCATCCGCCATAACATTAAGACCCCATTTATTGTCCAAAATGCAGGCGATTGGGAGAATAAACTCAATTATAAGAGAATAGGTCAGTGCTTTTGTGAGAAATTCTAAATCTCAAATTTGTTGCCATGTAGATATTAAAATGTACTTTAGACTCTGTTAAAGCCGGGGTACACCGTTTTCAAACAGCAAAACTTATGTATGTTTTTTGGGATATTTTGTTATAACTATTGACCGTATTGTATTGTATCCTTAATTAAGATTAATAATAACAATACTGTATGTGTCAATTGTAAGCCTTGCGTTTTTTATGTGCTTGTCTGGTGCACACTGGGGACTTTTGCACATCTATTCCAATGGGGTTTTACTGCAAATGGCAAATAAACTCAATCTGACTCTGAATGAGTGAGGAACTAGTAACATGCTCTCATTTTACCGTTTGGTTCTATCGCATTTTTACTTTTTTTTTTAACTTCAGACACAATTTATCAGGCAAAAATCACTCACTCATCTCTCAGCCTTAAGTGTCAAAAAGTGACTCACAGGGATCTTCCTCACGATGCAAAAAATACCATGTTTTCTGATAAAGACGAAGACTGCGTGTGGTCTGAATTGTGCACAAAATGTTACTATTAGTTATTATTAGACTTTGTATCTGTGGGGACAAGCAAAATGTGTTATCGGCAACGAATATAAAAGTAAGTAAGTAAGTAAGTAAGTAAGTTTTTATTTATATACCGCCTTTTCACTGCAGATCTGAGTCTCAATGCGGTTTACAATTGTTAATTTTGGGCATTTGTCTCTCACTCCACACAGAGATGGGAGCGGGTTCGCCAGTACAGGAAGCGCATGCCAGAACTATTGGACATATTTTTAGTGGTAGGGGAAACCGGAGTACCCGGAGGAAACCTACGCAGGCACGGGGAGAACATGCAAACTCCACTCAGAAAGGCCCTGGTCCGGCCGGGATTCGAACCCAGGACCTTCTTGCTGAGAGGCGAGAGTGCTATCCACTCAGCCACCGTGCCAAAGTTAGGTACCCCAGCTTTATCTCAAGTCCTCTGTCAACTCTGATTTCGAACAGGTTTTTTTTTAAAAGTGTCAAAAGTGGTCAATATTGAGGTGAATGAAAGCTGCTGTATGCTAGCTCACAGCGCGGTCGTAATGTTATGTCAACAACGGCTACAGTTAGTGCCAATGAACAATAACAGAGAAAATAATGTGAATATGAGTTACACAGTGATAACAGAAAATGGTGAATGTAACAGGATGATGTGATAAAAAAATAAAAAAAAGTGATTATGAGATTAGTAAAACATGACTTAGTGGTGGATTAGTGCAGGCACAACACTCAGGCAACATAATACAAAAGGAATAGGATTTGTAAATGGTAAAAATCATAACATTCATGACATATATATATTATCTTTCCACTTGATTTGTACAAATATTAGTTTTAATTCAATTTCTTTGTGCAAACTGACTGTAGTAATGTAACTGTTTTGTGATGACCTTATAATCATTATCATTAACTCATTGACTGCCAGTGACGTATTTGTCTGAGACCCTCTATTTGGCTGGGGATTACTGGACAACAAAAACAGCTACAACCAAACTTATTTTTGCTGATGAAAGTAGACAATCCAGTCTTTCAGAATCTGCTTTCATTTTTCACATGGGTTTAGTAAAAAATATTCTGTGGGTCTTGAGAATCAGTGAAATCAGAGTCAAAACGGCAGTCAAAGCTAAAGATTTTATACTTGTTTCTTCTTCATGCCAGAGTTAGAGATTTTGATTTTATTTTATTTTGTAAAGTTATTATTAATGTATCTCGTGCTTCCTACTGTTCTGTAACTGGTGATGCAACACTGAAATTTCACTATTCAGAGAGTTTGGATGGATGTTTTTCTATCTATCCATCTATGTCTATGTCTGTATCTATATCCATTTCAGTTGAATCTCTCCTCCACATAAGTGATGATGACAATAACCGGCTTTTTACGTTTTACATTTTCCGCCGTGTCTTGGTCGGTTACAGGCTCCTCACTTTTCACAAACGCTTCTGATTGGACAGTTGATTTTGTCACCTGAACCGTGCGCTCTGATTGGATAACACGGGTCTTTTGAATCTCAACCACACTCTCTGAAAAGCTATTCGTCTGGTTCTTTTTCATCTCCATGGACGTTTCACTGATTAGTTTCTCTGGTTTGGCTTTGACGAGTGTGATGTTTTTGGTGTTAAAGAGGAGCTTGGAGGAGGTATATTTGGGGGGTCCTGGGGGGCTTACCCTGAAGGGGCTGTTGGGGACGCTCACTCCAGCCCACGACACACAGACGGTGTGTTTGAGGGCTGCAGACGGAGTGTAGGAGCAGGAGTACAGGCCGTCTCCTTTAGACACGACCTTCACATCCACAGGTTTGCCCTTGCCATCCTAGAAAAAAAAAAGAAAACAGACACAATGTAAGTAAACTGCATTTTGATCCATAATTGATCCATAATTCATATTAATTCAATTCCATTTATTTTCTATGGCCTCAAGTCTCAATAACAGCAGTTGTTTTGGAGGACTTTACATGGTTGTTAATTTTTATTTGCAGATTTATATTACGTATAATATTTCAGTTTGTATGGACGCTGTATTTTTTATGCTGGACACCTACATTTCTCCTACAGGGATCAATAAAATATTTATCTGAGGATCAAACAGTTAAAACCCAGGAATTGCAATAATTATAAACCCATAGGAGCTGTCCATAGGGAACGAAATGACCAATGTCCATAAATGTCCTTAAATACCTTTCCTTAGACCTTTCTGCATCAGCAAGGAACGCCGCGAATATTAGTTCAACAAAAATAAGTCTCACATCCAGAAGTTCAATTAAGTATTAAAAAAAATAGAACTGTAGTTAAATTATTTTGATTAATTGCCCGATTATTCCTTCGATTAATCAATTTGTTGTCAAGATCCCAAAGGTCAGTGATTGTGAGATTCTTCATACATTTGACCAAAACAAAGCTTAAGTCCTGCCCCTGGAGATCATATTTATAGGTACATTGGGTTTATAATTCATCTAATAGCATATCAACAAAGAAGCACGGCTAAAACTTGAAAACAAAAAGGGCCCAAAAACTGACCCCTGTGGTGCCCCTGCCAATGGTCAGTCTCACTCAGACTATAATTTGTGTTGTTTTATTCTTAACTGGGAACCAACACAAGAAAAAGAGAAAGGGAGGGAAAGAAAAAACATTTTTGGGAGAAGGGTGGAGGGGAGAATCCCACAATACATGGCACAAATATTCAGTCACGCGAGAAAAATACAGTAGCGTTTGTCAAATTTGATGAGATTTGACAGGACACAACACAAAAACATTAGCACCGTACATTTACTCTCAACTAAACCTGGACTAGACCAAACTAAAATGTTAATCAGAAATAAACTAGGTTAAAACTAGAAAAAAGTATTAGGGATCTAGAAATGTAAAGTTATTTCAGAACCGTGTCGTGTCTTACCTGAGCTGTAATTTTCAGTGGTCCTTTTCCTGCATCTTTAGCATTTATAGTGAATTCAGCCAGTTTATTTATCAGACAGCCAGACTTCTCCAAACCAGGACCATACGCCTGGACCTGTGGCGAAGAAAACATGTCTAAACTTCTATCTGACTTCTGTAACTGACTGAAACCAAGGATTGTCCAGGATGGATGAGGCGGCCCATTGAAACAAATGCATTTTGTATGATTTGAAATAAACTTGTAAATTGCTTACAAACTGCATAAACCAGGATCTTTTGCTTTGCCTCTGACGAATACAGCAAATGTTAACAGTAGTAAAGCATTTCTCTGTAATTTGAACTAAAAATATGCATGAGGACATTTTTTACTATAATAATAATTTCAACAACAAGAAATGTCATGTGATCAACAAATATAAAACTAAAACCATTTAAAAACATAGGGTGCCCTTAAATCTTGGTATTTCGTCCTGCACAAAGCTAGCCAAACCCTTACCTTATCCTCAGCCAGAACCTAAACCAAATTAAGTGTTCCTAAACTTAACCATAACCTGACTCACCTAACACAATACTAAATTAAAAATGAAAAAAATCTCTCTGCCCAGGACAAAACACCAAGATTTAGCGAGTCCAAACATTGTTGAACTGTCAAATTTGTGGCAATGTCTAAAATCCATTTATCTCATCTGTAATTTAGTCAAAAGGAGAATTTCCACCACGTCGTCACCTTTTCTGCGTTGCTGCCGAGGTCGTCTGGAGTGATGTGTGCCATGAACGGACTGAGCTCGATGTCCTCCTCGTCACAGGTCACATGCACCGCGTACTCTCCAGGCTCCGTGGGCCAGTACCGGACGTCACAGGAGCCGTCGTTCTGGTCCTCACACTCGATCTTAGCCTGCGACGGGCCCTCGATGGCAAAGCCTGCAGGGTCACACCACAAAGGAGACCGTCAGAAACATTTGAATCAGTTTTTTTTCCCTTTTACTTTGCTTTTACCGAGTCTGAATGTAAGTGTTGTTTTGAGGTTTTGTATAAAAGTTTGTTACACACATGACAGAACAGTAGGATTAAAACGGAGCCCTAAGAGAAGATTAGATCAGTGTTTCCCAAACTTTTTGAGCCATGGCCCACCTATGTCATTGCAAAATATCACATGGCACACTACCAGCTGAAGCCGATACAACAGTGAAACTCTACAGCCTTCATTGACAAAGCAACGTCATTCTCATCAGTGTGTATTCAATGGCAAATCAAACAAACACAAAAAATCTTTATAAACTTCTCACATTTTGTTTTTTTCACATGATTTTGACCAAGCAGGTGATATTGGATCATTTGAAAAAAAAAAAAACGATCTTAGGTAATCCTCGCTGGGCCATAGGACTTTGCTATAATTGTGCTAGGGAGACAATAGCCAGTATACGTTGCAAAAATAAATATATACACCATGTAGACAGCGTTCAGGCCATAGACTGTATACAGTAGGTCCCATTTCGTTTTGTCGCCTTTCACGCGTGAATAGCACGAGACTCACGTGTGAAACACGCGTCTTTTATTTTATTTTCCCCCAGTGATGCTGCAATGACCCAAAAAACCACCACTTGTGAGCAGTGCCACCTTGAGCTTTATGACACCCAGTCATAAAGGAAATGGAGCATAGGCTTTGGACGAAATGAATATAAAATAGGCTGATGTGTTTGTTTTAGATGGGAAGTAAAAAAAGACTTATGAATATGCGTTTGATTCTGTCTTGCATTTTGTCTTGCTACTTTTTGCATAGTACAGATAACTATAATATACCAAGACATGTCCCAGTGTGGTACTACAACACCTTTCGCCCATAACTAATTTGATCTGCTATGAGAGTATATGTTTTTGTGTAGTCAGAATACAAATATGTAGTGACAGTATTGTTGCTGATTGGTGGACTGACCCAGGACCCCCACGTCTGTGCCGATGGACTCCACCACAAAAGCAGCCGGTTTGCCCACGACTCCCCCCTCCAGACCTGGACCGTAGGCTCGGATCTGCTGAGGACCGGCCTCCGGACCCACAGTGACCTCGAATGGACTGAACACAAAAGAAAATGAAATCACACAAAGCTTAAGAGTTACAGTATCAATGACAACTCACTAGTTTTCACAATATTGCTTATTTTAGTATTTTTGACCTCTGTTACATCTTTAGATCAGAAAAGTGAAAAAGAGCGGACCAAAGTCATGTTTAAAGCATTTGTAGAATGCCACAGTAGCTTTGACTAGCATCCGAGGTGTTTGGTCCATAAGCGGCGTTTGGTCTGACCTCTTGGGTATGTGCTGTCCTCCCCACGTGATGGTGATGGTGTGTTTTCCAGTGGTTTTTGGGTGATATTCATAATAGTACACTCCATCCTGATGGGAGAGCAGCTTCACCGGCTCCTCCACACCCTCTGAAAGATCAACAAAACAAACAATTACTGAGAGCGAATGAGCGGATGGTGTCATGGCTACATTGATGGGCAGTAAAAACACAGCCGCCCGTCTCATCACACACACGCCCTCCATCAACCACATCACCCCTGTCCTCCAACACCAGATCCTGCTCCTCACATACAAAGTAAGTAAGTAAGTAAGTAAGTAATCATTATTTATATACCGCCTTTTCACTGCAGATCTGAGTCTCAAAGCGGTTTACAATTGTTAATGTTGGGCATTTGTCCCCTCACTCCACTCTCCACATGGGGGCGGGGTCGCCAGTACAGGAGGCGCATGCCAGAACTATTGGACATATTTTTAGTGGTAGAGGAAACCTACGCAGACACAGGGAGAACATGCAAACTCCACTCAGAAAGGCCCTGGTCCGACCGGGATTCGAACCCAGGACCTTCTTGCTATCCACTCAGCCACCGTGCCGCCCAAAGCCATTCGCAACCTTGCTCCTCCACCTGACTGACCTCCTCCAGATCTCCACACCTGCCCTCTCCCTGTGCTCCTTATCCCTCCTCTCTCTAGCTCCTGGTCCCTCCTGGTTTTGCCTCGTCGCCATGGGGACCAGAGCCTTTAGCCGCTCTGCTCCCCCAGCTCTGGAACACTCTCCCCCCTGACCTCCATAACACCGACTCACTCACATTCTTCAAATCCACCTCAAAACTCATCTGTTTCTACTCACTAACATCATAACCACACTCTCCTCTGTCCATGGTGCTTTTAATTTTGTATTTTAACTGTATTTCAACTTGTATTTCAAAGGAGCAGTATGTAAAAATCTGGCCAAAAGTGGTACTACACTCTCCCTGACTTGGGTTGCCAGATATGCAGACGAATCCAGTTGGGACCATAACAGCTGAATAGACAAGAGTTTTGTCAACAACAAATCTATAACCAACACTTTTTTCACAAAGATAGAAATCCTGGTTTTATTCCTGGTTTTGTCGTTGATGATTTGAGAATCATAACAAGACCTTTTTTAGTTCTGCGCCACATGGTACTTTACCAGTGAGATTAGATCGACGTGGAGAGCTCTGGCGCCCGGATCACAGACTTTCTGATTGGTGAAACAATTGAGGGCGGGACATCAAAATGAAAACAATAACAAGATTTAGAGGCTGTAAAACTAATTTAGAAATTTAAATATCTCTGAACTACTTTTATCAGTTAAAGAAGTATTGGAAAAGAACAGGTTTTATTAATGCCTTTGGACGGATTAGGGCCCTTTAATGATGACTTTGACATGAAAATCTTACATATTGCTACTTAAAATGTAAAAAAAAAAAAAAGGCACTCTTGATCGTCAAGAAGAAATAAAATGTATTATTATTATTGTCTTGTATAGTAATAGTTGTGGAGGTAGCTTTAGACACTGGGACCGAATAGACAAGGTCAACCTGATACCAATTTACCAACGGGAAGCTTCCTGAGTGACTATATAAGGGCATAAACAACCTTTTGGTAAGACATTTCCTCTAATTCTCCTGGCGTGGTGTCATCATTTGTTCCACTAAATGGTTCACACTCCCTGGACTGCTCCTGTTTCACAAATGGCCCATTCACATAAACCGAAGGCAGACCACAGAAATGTGAGCAGATTGGGCTTTTGACCTTTGCAACAATGTTAAAGAGGCTGTAAAATGCTTCCTAAAACTAACTTTACACACAACTCATGGTGTGTGAGCTCCTTGTGAGGTGTTTTGTTGTCCGAGGCACTGGCTCTCCATCAGCAGAGCGCGGATTCTCACTTACTCAGGTTTCCATTTAAGATTTAGAGATCCTTTATTCGTCCAACAGTGGGGAAAATTGAGTGTTGCATCATCGGTTACAGAACAGTTGGAATGAGGAGCACACAGCACAAGATAAAGAACAATCACACTATACTAATAAATATAAATATCTAGCTTTAGCATAATAAGGAAGCAAGAAGTAAGCATAAACTCTCAACACATTAGCATAATAATAATAAGTATAAAACCTCTGACTTTAGCATAATAATAATAATAATAAATATAAATTATCTAACTTTAGCATAATAATATAAAATATCTAACTTTAGCATAATAATAAGTATAAAATATTTAACTTTAGCATGATAATAATAATAAGTATAAAATCTCTAACTTTAGCATAATAATAATAATAAGTATAAAATATCTGACTTTAGCATAATAATAATAAGTATAAAACCTCTAACTTTAGCATAATAATAAGTATAAAATCTTTAACTTTATCATAATAATAATAATAAGTATAAAATATCTGACTTTAGCATAATAATAATAAATATAAATTATCTAACTTTAGCATAATAATAAGTATAAAATCTTTAACTTTAGCATGATAATAAGTATAAAACCTCTAACTTTAGCATAATAATAAGTATAAAATCTCTAACTTTAGCATGATAATAAGTATAAAATCTCTAACTTTAGCATAATAATAAGTATACAATCTTTAACTTTAGCATGATAATAAGTATAACATCTCTAACTTTAGCATGATAATAAGTATAAAACCTCTAACTTTAGCATAATAATAAGTATAAAACCTCTAACTTTAGCATGATAATAAGTATAAAACCTCTAACTTTAGCAAAATAATGATGAAGTCTAAAATATCTAAGATCACGAAGGCTCAAACTTGTGCATGTGTTTTTCGTGGATGTAAATGCATTGAGCGGCGACTCACTCGGTCCCTTGATGGTGATTTTGATTTCTCCGCTGCCTCCGTTTCTCGTGTCGACTTTAATGTCTCCAGTTTGATTCACTCTGAGGCCTGAAGGCTGCAGCCCCCGACCGCTCGCTCTGCAGGCTCCAGGAACACACGCTGAGGGTACAAAACAAGCAGGAGTCAGGACAGTGGAAAGCTTTGCTCACAAGGAACACATGAATAACACATGAATAACACAGATCAAGAAAAGTACAAATCTGGCCAAAAGTGGTACTGCAGTCACAGTCAATATTTTGTAGTCCTCTCCCACTCTCCCTGACTCAGGTTGCCAGATACACACCAAATCCAGCAGCAAACACAGGGGATTATTTGATCAGCTGTTTGTCCGTCTCTCACATTGCCATGAGCCGTGCTAATGTTGAATGAATGTTTCGAATGAATGTTTTCATTTTTTTTCATTTGGACATTTAAGATAAAAAAAAGAAAACAAAATAAAAGCATTTTAATTATACATACATGTAGATTATGCAAAATAAATAAGCAATTGATATCCAAAATAGGAGTGGGAAGAATGGATGTTGGAACGTATTTCTTCAGCGTATCAACATCAGGGTTTGCTCCAGAGGATATACCCTTTACATTTTATTTATACCCTATTTTTTAGACAAACATGTATAAGTCCCACATCAAAAAGAGACGAACAATATTTTAATTGGGTACATGTGGTTTCAAATGATTCTTTCTACAATTAAGCTATAATCTGCAAAAAAACATGTTTGAACAATCTGTCAAAGAATCTCACACAAAAACTTGTATCAGCCGTATCAATTGTTCAAAGGCGTCCCCGATATAAATCCTCCTTTTAGTTATTGTTTTGTCATTAATGATTTGAGAGTCATAACAAGACCTTTTTTAGTTCTGCGGCCACAACTTATTTAACCAGTGAGATTAGCCGCGAGGAGTTCTGGCAACCCGATCACGGACTTGCGAGTTGAAGATGTATACGAAAAGAGCATGATTTAATAACGCCTTTTGAAATATTGGGGCCTTTTAATGATGACTTGACATGTAAACATTACATACTGCTACTTTAAATTAGCAATATTTCGAGAGATTTGCAATGTCACTTTTTCCTCACTGGGTATTTCTGAGTTGTTCCTTGTTGATACAGAAGGGTCTGAGGACAGTGATCCAGGACATTTATAAACATTTATTAACATTTATTACCATTATTTATTACCCCTCTCTTTTTCAGTCTATGGTCTATCCCCCCACCCTCACCCACACTCCCCTCTGACACGCCACATTGGACGAGGCTGGTCAGAGTAATCCATCCATCCATCCATTTTCTTCCGCTTTATCCGTTGCCGGGTCGCGGGGGCAGCAGTCTAAGCAGAGACGCCCAGACTTCCCTATCCACACACACTTCCTCCAGCTCGTCCGGGGGGACCCCAAGGCGTTCCCAGGCCAGCTGAGAGACATAGTCCCTCCAGCGTGTCCTGGGTCTTCCGCGGGGCCTCCTCCCGGTGGGACGTGCCCGGAACACCTCCCCAGGAAGGCGTCCAGGAGGCATCCGGAACAGATGCCCGAGCCACCTCAACTGGTTCCTCTCGACGTGGAGCGGCTCTACTCCGAGCTCCTCCCGTGTGACTGAGCTCCTCACCCTATCTCTAAGGGAGCGCCCAGCCACTCTGCAGAGGAAGCTCATTTCGACCGCTTGCATCCGCGATCTCGTTCTTTCGGTCATTACCCACAGCTCATGACCATAGGTGAGGGAGGGAACGAAGATTGACCGGTAAATCGAGAGCTTTGCCTTTCGGCTCAGCTCTCAGAGTAATGTACTGTGTCTCTCCAAACAATGTCTGTCTGAAATGTGTTGGTTTTTGCTCTCTGCTGTTGAATAACTGATATAAGGAGCGCGGAAATATAGTACCAGCCTTGATGTTTATATTGTATATTGAACTGAATTTCTCCATTGTGAGATAACAAAGTACATCTCTAATCTCTCATTATGAACCTTGGTCATCCTGCTCAATATTGGACCAATGGCTCTTATGTATTTGTTATTATTGCATTTCCTAAGTTTGAAACGGATTGATTCTCTGATCTGTCTGCAAATCAATAACTTTGTAAAATCCTCCTGCTGTTGTGAGCTAGGGCGATACAAAAATAAATTAAATTGATAGTTTTTCCACAAAGTTCTTCAGCAAACCTTGTGGCCTCCTGTATGAATACCGTGTGCATGCAGACGACACACTGATGTGAACTGATTTAGTGGTAAACCCTGGACCAAACATGAACATATTTAAAACCCGTGTGGCATCTACATTGGGTTCAGACCTGGAGCGATGTCGACGTTGAAGGGGCTGCGAGGCACAGGGACTCCCCCGAAGGTGACGGTGAGGCTGTGCGGTCCGGCCTGCGTGGGTTTGTAGGTGCAGCGGTAAACACAGTCCCCTCTGTCCTCCATCATCAGTTCCACACTGTTCTGTTTGCCCAAAGGATCTCGCACCATCACCGTCACGTCCCCAGTGCCTGCTCCTACAAAACACACACAACAGATTTAAGACAGAAGCATTTCACTTTGATTCCAGTAGATAGACCTTCATCATTCTATCTACAAAAGGGTTTAAAAAGTAAAGTTCAGTCTGTCATATTTTCATCTAAAATTACATACGGTAACAGCTCCACATGTACCAATCATATTTGACCATTTCAGAACAAAAGTTTAAAGTTGAATTATTCTTAGTTAATAATACGTAGATTACCCAATCAGCGAGTATGAGTAATGAGACTCAAAACTGCTTGTTCCATTTGGTAATATTCTAGATAAGACAATGGAAAAGTACTAAAAAGGTTAAAATAAACACTTGATTTAAGCTTTTATTATCTTAATATTTTTCATCATTTTTGCAGTGTACTTTTTGTGAGGATTTTTGTGCAACTAGAAAATTAAGTCTTGATCTTGTTCACTACTGGCTACAAAAACGCAACCCTTATAGACCGTTTTTTGAAGTTTTGGATTTCCTATGTCATGATTATGGAGATGAAAAATATTCTTAAAGAGCGACTAAACACCTGTGCCCAGCCTTACTCCGAAGATTTGAAAATGTTCTCTTAAAAGGGCGTTGCCTGGAGGACCAAGGGACAAGAAGGGGGGCTTAGAGTTGGGCGTGGTCTGGGCTGTGATTGACAGCTCACTTGTCACACACAAAAAAACAGACAGTTGTCATTGCTGCTTAAAGTAGTACTAGAATTTAATATGCTGCTATCCAGAATATATAACTACAATATGTGTTTATAATATTTCGGGTGTTCATTTTGACATGTTCAGATGAATTATGTTAAAAAAACGGCTTTCAAGTGGCACTTTTTCACTTCCGCTTAGAAACGCTAGGGGGGGCCAAAATGGCGGCGATGACGTAGGAGAAGGACCTCTCACAGCAGCAGCAGCAGTCTGGGCTGAATCTGTAGGAGGTTTCACTGTCATCTGAACAAGGTATAAACATATTTTCATCCGTTTTGTACATAATAGTGTGCAACTCTTTTAACCTTTTAGCCTTATTTGTGAGATTCAAGCTAATTAGTGTTGGGCAAGTTAGCTAACTCTACTTGATATCATAAAACATGCTAACAAGGCTAATATTCGTTTTTACATTATGCCAGTCTCACTTTGCCTTAGATTTATTTACCACAATGTACATTGTAATATCCATAAATGCTATTAACGGTTTAATTAGCATTTTTATCAATGATTGCATCACATGTAGTCTATGTTTTCAACTTCTGCAGCTTTTTGTTCATAAAAGTAAAATATTTATTTAATTAAAGTTATTTTGATTAGCATTTTTGAATATTACAATGTACATTGTGGTAAATAAATTCAAGGCAACCACAGTGAGACTGGCATAATGTAAACACGAATATTAGCCTTGTTAGCATGTTTTATGATATCAAGTAGAGTTAGCTAACTTGCCCAACACTAATTAGCTTGAATCTCACAAATAAGGCTAAAAGGTTAAAAGAGTTGCACACTATTATGTACAAAACGGATGAATATGTTTATACCTTGTTCAGATGACAGTGAAACTTCCTACAGTTTCCAACCAGACTGCTGCTGCTGCTGTGAGAGGCCCTTCTCCTACGTCATCGCCGCCATTTTGGCCCCCCCTAGCGTTTTTATAAAGGTGCCACTTGAAAGCCGTTTTTTAAACATAATTCATCTAAACATGTCAAAATGAACACCCGAAATATTATAAACACATATTGTAGTTATATATTCTGGATAGCAGCATATTAAATTCTAGTACTACTTTAAAGCAATAGTTTACAGACCAGAAAGTCTCATTCCACCCTTGTTTACACACTAAGATAATTGTAAAGCTACACACCTGAACCTAATCACACTCAATAATCTCAGAATCACTCATGTAATTTAATTTTAATCCACTAGATGGCGCCAGAATACTCCAAACTGCAGCTGGGCGTGTGTGAGAGTTGGATGGGTTTATATCACTGGCTCTGAGAGACTGACGTCACACAAAACAACTGATGTCATAGAGAACTTCAGAGTCAATGGAGAGGCCAGGACCAAATTCAAATGTAGTACCACCAAAAAGGTTGAGAGGGCGCCACACAGACGTTTTTTGGCTCAAAAGTGATATTTTATCTAATTTGAACTAAAATGTCAAAGAAATGACCAGGATATTTAGAGAGCACTACAATAAACATATTTATGCAGTTTATGGGTTAAAAAAAGTTGATTTGGTGTGTAGTTGCTCTTTAAGTAAAATTATCTGACGCAAGTACAAACTCCTCTGAACAATGACAAGATGGCAGCAGCGATGGGCGGGGATAGGTGGTAGGTGAGAGGCTGCATTCTCAAACGCACAGATGGACGTGGTGTGTTCACTGACCTGCGGTGTAGATGTCGAAGTACGTGGCTCTGTTGGCGATGTTCCCCACTGGCTCGACCCCCGCTCCCTTCACCGTCACTTTGGAGGCGTCGCCCAGAGACTTGTCCACGTCCACCTCAAAGGGACTCTTCGGGATCTGCTGCCCAGCGAAGAGCACCGTCACCTGGGTAACAACACACAGCACGGGGCCTCTGAGCTGGAGCTATGGTTTGCGGTCATTAGTAATCAAGGCGGTGAGCAGTAATTTGCAATAAAAGTAAAAATATTGGTGTCAAAATGTTGAATAATAAAATATTTGACTTTGATATTTGTATTGTTAAATAAACAGGCTTCATTCATTTAAAGGTGCAGTAAGCAATGTTGTTAGCTTAGCCGTAGCATCAACTGGAAACCACTCCCCCCCTCCCCTCCCTCTCCACCAAACCAAACATCCAGCATTTTCTTTTCTTTGTCACAACAGGGAGAGTGGGCGGCAAACGTGAAATTGGGCATTTTCTCTTCAGCCATTTTAGGTTTTAGAAAATCCAATAACTCAGGTGAACTTGCGAGAAACAGGAAGAGGGTGAAGGGGGTAAACGCATCCCATTGGTTCGTTGGAGATGAACGAATGCCATTGGTTTATTTTTATTGGTCCGCTCCAAAATATTTTGTATTAATTTTTGTAGACTATAAGCATCTGGTCAATTCCATTACTATTTGAAAACACATGATAACTTGACTACTTTTAGTGTTTAGGGACCTTTTCCACAATAATTAAAAAAATGCGTATGGAAAAAAATCATTGAATGCATCTTTAAATAGGGGGAAAAAGGTTCATTTTGACCAAAAGAAACTAAACTAATCAGAAAATACTTTTCTTTCTGATTAGTTAGCGTGCTCTAAAACTCTGAGCAGTTTTAGAGCATCCGCTGTGTTTGAGCTGATGTGTTGTTATTGTAGCCATTGTTATTGTTAGCTGTAGCTTTAGCCATATTAGCTGCTACACTCTGAATCTGGACTTTTATATAGTTTATGGCCCAGATTGGCAGTCAGTACCGATATCAATATCAGACTCGAACATTCTTAGTTCCATTCTTAGGGTGTCAAACGGGTCCTCATTTATTTTATTTATTTTTTTATTTTTTTATTTATTTGATCGGGACAACACACATTAATGAACAATCATATACAGTTGTACACAGATTGTAAATGTGCCAGATTATAGCAAAACTGCTAATTTACATCTGTAGTCCCGAGGCAGGTCACACAGTAAAACAATGTATGAACAAAACATACATACAAAACACAATATAAAAACTTTATAAATCACATTTTAGTTAAAATGAGTGCATGACTGATTTACTTTGATGTGATGTTTAAGTTGTTTCTTAAAGGAGCTGTATGTCGGGCATTCTCTTATGTCTGTAGGAAGGCTGTTCCAAGACTGGCCTCCTCTGACGGACAGCACAGTTTGTCCAAATGTTGTTTTTCTGTGTGGGATCTCCACATCTCCTCTAGAGGAGGCTCTGGTGCGGAGACCCCTCATTGCTTTAAGTTTAATGTAGTTACATAATGGGGGCGGGGCAAGACCATGAAGTGCTTTGTAAACAAGGCAACAGTTTTTAAAATGTATGAAATTTTGAAAATTTAGCATTTTATATTTTTCCAGGATATTGCAGTGATGATATGACCAAGGCTTTTGATCCAGAATTTTTATGGACTTTTTGAAGAGGATTTCTATGGGTTTGATATTTGTTTCTCCAGTAAGTGACCAGGTTGTAATGCAGTACTCTATGTGTGAAAATATCATTGAGTGTAGAAACATCTTTGCTGAATCTGTTGTCATAAAGGGCCTGATTTGTTTGAAGTTCTGTAAATTTAACTTTATTGTATTCGCAGTGAGCTTAATGTGTTTTTTAAAGGAGAGTGTTGAATCCAGTGTGACCCCGAGATATTTGAACTCCTCAACAAAGTCAAGCTCAGTGTCTCCAAGGAACACATTGGACCGATCAAGTTTAATAGATTTTTTTGTGAACATCATTGACACGGTTTTCTTTTTATTTAATAGTAAGGATGAGTTGTTGAGCCACTGCTGTATGTCTGTCAGAGCTGCAGTGAGGGTAGATGATGCCTCCTCAGTTGTTTTAGCAGGAGTAAAAATTACAGCATCATCTGCATACATTTGAAAGTGGACATTTTGACAAACATTTGGCAGGTCATTGATATACACAGAAAAAAGTATAGGTCCTAATACAGAACCTTGTGGGACCCCTGCAGGGCATTCTAGAAATGATGACACGGTGCCACCCACATTCACACACTGTCTTCTATCAGACAAATAAGATGTAAACCAAGCAAGAGTGTCCTCGGCCAAGTTAAAGTGAGTCAATTTAGAAATAAGGGTCATGGGGTCTGACCAGTCTCTACCCAGTTCCTCAAGTGAGTCCAGTCTTAACACAGTCTTAGTCACCTTCACTGGATGCACTTATTATTTAAATTTATTCATTTTAGTTGTCCGCAGTATTTAAAACAGTTTTTTTGTCCCCTTCTCTACACCTTTTTCACTCCGAAGCTCTGATTGTCTCACCTTTTCTGTTCCAAGAGTTTTTAAAGAAGTTGGATGCAGATCATTTCAATATAAGGCTCCATCAGACTGGAATAAACTCCCCACATCCATAAGATCCATTCTGTCTGTTGGTTTATTTAAGTTTGAATTATTTAGGTTTCTTGAAACTCCTTGTTTATGTCACTAATGTTCTGTGTCATTATTGTTAATAGTTTTACTTTTTTTTTGTTTTTTTTTCTTTCCTATATGTTTAATTTCAGCAGAGGGGAGGAGTGGGGTGCGATGGAGCATTTGTTTTGTTATATTTTGTTGTTGTTTGTTTTGTTTGTCTTTGTGTGTGTTTAATTAACTTTTCTCATCTTTAATTCGCTGTAAATTGCTTTTTGTGTATGTGTGTTTGTTTATATGTTTGTATTTATGTTTAGGACCCCCTCGAAAATGAGATGATTCATCTCAAGGGGCTTTCCTTAATAAACTTAAACTTAAACTTAACCTGAAGACCTGAGGAAATGAGTCTGGTGTGTGTTCCTACTTGATTGAAGTGAAATCTTGGAACCAGTTTGACACCCCTGGACTAGACTGACAATGGACAACATTTATATAGGAAAAAAAATGTATATATCCTCTCTAACTATTTTCTACAATTTACCCCCTCAACATCGTTTGCCGTTCATATTATTCCACCGTGCTCTGGTTTGAGTCCCGACTGGTTTTCGCCGGTCTTACCTTGTGGTTACCCGTGACCTGAGGGATGTATGTGACCGAGTAGGTTCTCTTCCCTTCGTTCAGCTCTGGCTTCAGCTAAAACAAAAGTCAATTTTTAATATTGTTATGACATCAATGCTTCAAAATGTGTTCAAATTCCACTTAAATTGGCCCCACCCCTTACCTCTTCCCTGGTGCCGTCTGGTTGGTCGAGATAAACGGTCACATTTCCCTGACCTGCACTGAACGTGTCCACAGTGAAGACCGCCGGACGCAGCACTCTGTTCCCTGTCGGCTCGATACCTGAAAGACATTAGATTTAAGAAATGGCGTGTGGATGGATTCTCAAGTCAATAATGTATCTATCCGTCTCTCTATCTCGATCTATCTGTAAGATGTCAACACTTTAGGCCAAGAAGAGCTAGACTTTCTGAGCACTGGGAAGCTGATTTGTTTACATGTCTGACTGCAGAATTCTACTTCCTGTTGTATGTTTCAATCAATCAATCAATCAACTTTATTTGTATGGCGCCTTTCCAACACAAGGCCACTCAAAGCGCCTCACAACCCACATAACATCAGACAAATCAGAAATATCAAAAACTACATATACAAACAATAAATACATTAAAAACAGAATAAAAATCACAAGTAATGAAAAAACCTTAAAACATTAAAAGCACACACGGGATTAAAATAATAAATAACCACAATGCATTAAAAAAGAGTATGTATCAATAAAATCCTTCAGCCGTATGCACAGCTAAAAAGAACAGTTTTTAACCCTGATTTGAAAATTGCCAGAGTAGATGCTAGCCTCACATTTTCAGGAAGATTGTTCCAGATTTTAGCTGCATAAATCTCAAAAGCGGCCTCCCCATGTTTAGTTCTGACTCTGGGCACTAAAAGGAGTCCAGTCCCTGTGCTCCTCAGAGTCCCAGCAGGAGTCCAGTCCCTGTGCTCCTCAGAGTCCGGGCTGGTTCATATGGGACTAACATGTCACTAATATATTTTGGTGCGAGGCCATGGAGAGACTTGTACACAAGCAGAGCTGTTTTAAAGTCTATTCTCTGAGCCACAGGAAGCCAGTGCAGAGACCTGAGGACCGGACTAATGTGGTCGTACTTCCTGGTTCTAGTCAGGACTAATGTGGTCGTACTTCCTGGTTCTAGTCAGGACTCGAGCTGCTGCATTTTGAATGTACTGCAGCTGTTTTACAGCCTGTTTGGACAGACCTGTGAGCAGGCCATTGCAGTAGTCTAACCTACTGGAGACAAATGCATGGATGAGAATCTCCAAGTCTGCTTTAGACACTATGTTTTTGATCCTGGCAATGTTTTTTAGATGGTAAAATGCTGCTGATGTTACTGATTTGATATGACTGTTAAAATTTAAGTCTGAGCCCATTATAACTCCTAGGTTTCTGACCTTGTCTACAAGTTCCAGGGAGAGAGACTGGAGGTGACGAATAACGCTCTCTCTTTGTTTCTGAGGACCAAAGACAATCAATTCTGTTTTGTCTGGGTTTAGCTGAAGGAAGTTGTTTTGCATCCACTCACTGATCTGTTGGATACAGTGAAGGAGTGAGTCCACTGGTCCATGTTCTCCTGCAGTCAGTGAGACATAAATTTGAGTGTCATCAGCGTAATTGTGGTAGGATACATTGTTGGAGCGTATTAACTGACCTAACGGCAGCATGTAGAGATTGAACAGAAGAGGCCCCAGAATTGACCCCTGTGGTACTCCACAGGTCAGAGCCATATGATCTGAGAGACAGTTTCCTATCTGAACCAAGTATTTCCTGTCTTCAAGGTAAGACCTAAACCAACTTAGGGCAGTCCCAGTGACACCCACCCAGTGCTCTAGTCTCTGCATGAGGATCTCGTGGTCGACTGTGTCGAACGCAGCACTCAGATCCAGCATTACTAAAACTGTGACTTTTCCTGTGTCGGTGTTAAGTCGGATGTCATTTGTAACCTTCACTAGTGCAGTCTCAGTGCTGTGATTGGCTCTAAAGCCGGACTGGAGCGCATCAAAGGAACTATTAGTTACTAAGAATTCTGTAAGTTGTTGGTAAGCAACTTTTTCCAGAATTTTTCCCATAAACGGCAGATTTGAAATGGGCCGGTAAACATTAACCAATGTTTCTCTTGGTTAATCAGCAGAACTGTGGTTACTATTGAAAGAGGAGTCCATTCTATTCAAAGAGACATAAGCAGATACAATAAGAACGATTTATTATGTTATTATGGAGAAATGTGTTTTGGAGCAGTTAGTAGCACCCACAGATACAGACGTGACATAAAAAACACAGACAATACACACATTAACATTCATTGACACAAATACACAGTCACCTGATGTTATTTAGCAGCTGTATGAACTAAGGTGCAAACGTGTTGATCCTGTACCTCCTCCCAGAATGCAACAGTTCGCATAGCTGACATCTTACAGGTCAAACATTAGCATTGCCTCCGGAGCATGACCTCATAGTGGTGTTATGTGAATCCCAGGTATTTCCTGGAGCTGACCTCTGCACACTATTGTTTCCACTTCCTCTCTTTGTCGCTAATGAACTTTCCATCAGGATTTTCTCCTGGCAAATCATTCCCCCCCCAAAAAAATGTAAGAATAATTTCATTTCAGACAGGAGCAGAGTTGCAGAAAGGAGCAAGAATTCACACAAGAGCTAGCTAAGGAGTGGGTGTTCATTATCGATTATTGACATTCTGCTGTTGAGGTGGAATGTGTTTTTCCGGTGAGTGGGTGTTTCTGTCTGCAGCTCAGTGTTAAAACCAGTGGGGGAGGGTCCCAGTTCAAAAGTGGCCAAAATGACGTGCGCTGACATGCTGCAATACCACCCCGGGCCGATGGGGGTGGACCCAGAAGAAGAATTAGCCAATGCTAACATATAGCATTGGCAGACCTCTGGAAAACGTCTTTACAGGATGGACCAAAAGCTGGGTCTTGGCCCAAAGCTCCGTTCCACATGTGTGTCAATGCTGAGGGGGGTGGATTGTTTTGGTCCACTCTAGTTTACTTGCTGTGAATTTTTGAAGTCTCTCGTTCAAATGAATGGAGCTGACGCCGGCTGACACATGCGCAGATGCGTTTTTTTCACAATTTTCTTGTGGGCGGGACCACTCGCGGCCATCTTGGATTGCTCCAATAGAGCACATTTTTTGGCCCATTAGTTAGAACGGCGGAGATAGGCGTGACTCTGTCCGTTAATATATACAGTCTATGGTTGTATTAATCCGTAGGTGAATGTTGTTTCTTGATGTTTTGAAGCTTTTCTTCGGATGGAAAATGTAACTATTATTTTTTTTCACGTAAGAGTACAGTAAAAATGTTAAAGTACTGTATGGATACAATACTCTAAGACGTACAGTTACTTCTATAAGTTACTCAAGTTCATGTACTTGAGTAAATGTAATTGTTTTTGTTTTGTTTTGTTTTTCGGAATTATTATTTTGGATACGGACTGATTGTGCAGTATCACCGGGAAATGTAAATGTATATCATAGTGATTACGGGGTAGGCGTATATATAAGCTTCTGGCTTCAGCCTACTCCTTTTCTTTTTGGGAGCGCCTCTAATAGAATGATGTAAATGTGAATGTTAAAATGTAAACGGCTCAAAAAAGAAATAAATAAATAAATAAAATAAAAAATAATAAAATAAAAAATAAATTAAAACCCTCACTCCCACTCCCACTGGTCAACCTGCGACATGCTTTAGAGAGAGAGTGACGATCCTGGTGCCCATAACTGCAGCTAGAGTGTGTCCTTGTTGAACTAAGATGTGATGCTAATAGCTGTATTTAGAGCTGGCATGTCAAACTCAGGTCAAACTCAGGCCCGCGAGCCAAATCCGGCCCGCAAGAATTTTTTGTGTGGCCCCGGTAATGATTTTCAAATGATCATTATCAAGGTACTTTGCAGAAATTGATGGTAATGCAGTACTATGGCTGTTATACTTCATTTTAACGCTTATAATCTCAGGAAAACAACCATATAATTGAATATGTTTTAACTAATTATATTTACTTAATCTATATCATCTCTGGCCACCCCCCGACCCAGAAATGGACTAAGGGTTAAAACATGGATGGATGGATGGATAGTTACTTAATTATATATTTTCTTAATATTTAGCCCATTTTTGGTTGAATCCTAACATAAGAGAAAATAATATCCAAATTTATCAAAATATGAAATTATGAAGACAAAAAATGATACCACTTTTATAATGTTGGCTCCAGCTCTGTTTTTAAAATTGTCCCCAACCAAAATGAGTTCGACCCCCCCTGATCTAGACCCTGCGGGCATTCTGTGGTCCAGGACAAAAAGATCATTAAAAAGGGGCGTTTTTTGAAATTCTAAATGGATGGAGTTACCTGGGCCGTACGCTCGGGCCTTCTTGGGGTTGAGTTTGGGTTTGAGAGGAGCTCCAGGTTTGAGTTTGGCTTTTGGAAACTGGGACAGATACGTCATGACGGACTGTTCGTCTGCGCTCGGGTCGATGATTTCCTCCGGTGCGATCACCTGAAAAAAGGACATTTATGAGATTACTCGGTGTGATCATTAACAGCTAGAGTATTGTTATGGCCGAGGAAGTCAAATATTAAAATCGAGACTCAATCAAAGTCTAACATTCTCTAAGCAAAGGAAGGTTTCATTCTCTAACATCCTCATTCTAACATTCTAACATTCTCGGTACATTTTGGAGAACAATGTATTATTTTGGGCACGTTCGTTTTAGTTTCTACAGTAGCGTGTGTGATAAGGCAAAGTTTACGAGACGCCTTTGAAAGCACCACAAGGCTTAACCTGATCGATCGGATAAAGCGCCCGCATGTAGACTGGGACCAGAGTGGACAGACTGGTTTGGGAGCAACTCAAGAGGGTTTTTTAACATATTATTTATTCATACTGCTTTAAAAACATAGTCTGACCTCACGAAGATTGTAGCATTTGCTTTTGAAGTTAGCCTATTCCTCTTGACCAATCAGTCTTATAATTATCTAGAGAAACTATAGGCGCAGACGGGATCGAAAGTTAGGTCTGGGAATAGTTTGGATATTTGGATTTGGAGTTTTCACCTTGATCCAAACTTTACACTCACGAGGAAATAAACTGCAATTCCCAACTTCCTTCAACAACAAAAAAACAGGAAACTAGATTTTTGCTAAAGGTCAAAGGTCATAGGTCAAATGACTGTGGGCAGTAGCAGTTCCTGATGGTGTTTTTTGAGCACAGTATTTAAAAACCAGTCTTGCATCGTAATGTTGTTAGTTTTTCTGCTCAAACCTATCAAATCCACATATTCCCTTCAGCTGCAGCTCAGGTTTAAAGGGTTTGGCTCAGTGTTTGTCGGGGCCAGACCTGGGGGATGCCGAGCCAGTCGTCGGCCAGCTGCATGGCCTCTGTCGCGTTGTCCACGGGCTTCGAATCCCAGGTCTCCCAGTCCGGACACAGGCCTGAGCAGAACAGAAGACTGTATTAAAGCAACACAACACAACTATTGATACCTGGTCACACACTACAGTTGTGTGTAGTGTGTGATGGTTGTGTGTGGTTACCTGGAGCGCAGCTGTCCACCAGAGCTCCCAGGGCCTTTCCGTCTCTCCAGTCCTGTCTGAAGTTGGTGATGGGAAGATCGGGCAATTTGTTCTGGATCCAGCCCAGAAGACGCTGCTTTGGGGTCTTGGACTCAGACTGGGATTTAAAAAAGTATAAAAACAACACATTAGATTAGACTTGAAAATGATTCCCCACATGGAAAAACTAAAACAGGACTGTACCTTCATATTCTAATGTGATTATTAATGATTTAAATGTCTTGATTGTATGATTTTGATGCTTCTTTTCTTGTTTTGTTAAGCTTGGAGTTGCCTTGAACCGTGCTATACTAATAAACTGGCCTATGTACAGTATGTATCTGTCTTTAGCTTGACCGGGGATGTTTCATTACAATTATAGTTTCTTTACTGCATGTAAAATACTGCACCTTTTTTAGATATCAAACCACCTGAAAAAAGGATTCTAGAAGATTATAAAAATATCCAGTTTCAATAATAATTGTAAACTGGACTGGACTGGTTTTAAACACATATCTGTAATGACATTTTCATAATAAAGTCACATCTATACACCAAAAGTGTATAGATGTACAATGCTAATTCGCTAGCTCAATGAAGCCCAATAGGGAAGTGCTCATAGACAAAGTTTTGCTCCAACTCACTCTGGCTCCGGTTGACTTCACACTCATCATTTTGGGTTAAAAATGTACAAATCTGGTTCAGCGTTCTCTAGATCCTGGTGATTATATGATATTATGTGATATTGTGTTGGTATATGCAGATATGAGCCATAAAGGTTGACCAATCAGATGCTTTCATGCGGAGAAACTTCAGCCTGCCTTAGCAACCATGTTAGCAACACGTCTGCCCCCGTTATGGCGCAAAGCTAACAACTGTTTAAAACCTGTCAGTGGCAGCTCTGTGTGTCTAAGGTACTAAAACCAGACTAAAGCGGGTCCCAGTGCTACAGACCTCCTCCTCCTCTCCCTCCCACACGGGCATCGAGATGGAGTAATGCAGGATCAAGGTCCAGACCAGACCCAGGATCAGCTTCAGGTTCCCGTCCACGATCGCCTTTGAGTCTGAGGAAAACAATGGAAAAGTAGTGATGAGTAACGAAAGACAAAATAAAAGCTTTTTTTTTTTTTTACCCGCGTTTGTTTAAAAGCTTTAATATTTGATTTGAAATGAGAAACACAAGAAAACAAACAGAAATATTCTTTTTCACGTTTTTATTTTGAAACAGAGCTCAGACACAGCATGAAAAATACACAATGGAAAATATATCTTTGACTTGTATTGCTATTTTATCAACAAATGTTATGGGTATTTCACACACAGGATCTTAATCTTAAAACATAAATAATGAAAAGCCAAAAAATAGCAAAAAAGATTCAAGATTAAATAAAAAGTCTAAAATGTCATCCACTCACTCCATGATTATATTTCAAAGACTGTAACATTACACTAACCTTTCTCACAACAACAAAAGAAGATAATTTTGTCTCTATTTGTATCAAAAACACATTCATTAAGCAAATAAATAAACGTAATAATAATAATACATCAGGTTGGGAGTAAATAAATAACAATAAAAACAAATAACACACATGATATGGACATTATTTGGTTCATTCCCAGTTTTTCACAACTCGGACGTTTATTACCCCCTTGTTAAAAGTGAACGATGTGGTTACTTCACGCAGCTAAAATCTGGAACAATCTTCTTGAAAATGTGAGACAGGCTTCTTCTCTGACAATGTCCAAATCCAGGTTAAAAACAGTTTTGTTTTGCTGCAGATTTTTTTTTATTTTTTTGCAGTGTGTTTGAAGTGTTTTATCGTATAGAAATGCTTTTTGTCATTCACGTATTTACTAAAGGGGAGAGAGCTTGGAGTTTAAAGCAGAAAATCTCATCTGAATCTAAAATCTGATTGTGTATAATTTTGTGCTTTATCCATTTTATTTTTCTTGCTTCTTTCTACCTGAGATGTTGTTGCAGTTCAGTGTTCATGGTTTAACACTGGTTCAGACCAGAGCAGAGAGGATTCATGGTCCGAACCAAGTGGATCAGATGAAAATCCACTGGAGCAATGCTGACTTTTCGAAGAATGCTAATGAAGCTTTTAGCATTTTACTTTGGACCAGAGCAGAGAAAATGGTCCGAACCAAGCCGCTACTCCACCTTGTGACCCGTCCTGCTCCACCCAGAGGCGACTCCACCTCTGCTGCTGTGACCCGTCCTGCTCCACCCAGAGGCTACTCCACCTCTGCTGCTGTGACCCGTCCTGCTCCACCCAGAGGCGACTCCACCTCTGCTGCTGTGACCGGTCCTGCTCCACCCAGAGGCTACTCCACCTCTGCTGCTGTGACCCGTCCTGCTCCACCCAGAGGCGACTCCACCTCTGCTGCTGTGACCGGTCCTGCTCCACCCAGAGACTACTCCACCTCTGCTGCTGTGACCCGTCCTGCTCCACCCAGAGACTACTCCACCTCTGCTGCTGTGACCCGTCCTGCTCCACCCAGAGGCTACTCCATCTCTGCTGCTGTGACCAGTCCTGCTCCACCCAGAGGCTACTCCACCTCTGCTGCTGTGACCCGTCCTGCTCCACCCAGAGGCTACTCCACCTCTGCTGCTGTGACCCGTCCTGCTCCACCCAGAGGCTACTCCATCTCTGCTGCTGTGACCAGTCCTGCTCCACCCAGAGGCTACTCCACCTCTGCTGCTGTGACCCGTCCTGCTCCACCCAGAGGCTACTCCACCTCTGCTGCTGTGACCAGTCCTGCTCCACCCAGAGGCTACTCCACCTCTGCTGCTGTGACTCGTCCTGCTCCACCCAGAGGCTACTCCGCCTCTGCTGCTGTGACCCGTCCTGCTCCACCCAGAGGCTACTCCATCTCTGCTGCTGTGACCCGTCCTGCACCACCCAGAGGCTACTCCAACTCTGCTGCTGTGACCCGTCCTGCTCCACCTAGAGGCTACTCCATCTCTGCTGCTGTGACCAGTCCTGCTCCACCCAGAGGCTACTCCACCTCTGCTGCTGTGACCCGTCCTGCTCCACCAAGAGGCTACTCCACCTCTGCTGCTGTGACCCGTCCTGCTCCACCCAGAGACTACTCCACCTCTGCTGCTGAGACCCGTCCTGCTCCACCCAGCGGCTACTCCACCTCTGCTGCTGTGACCCGTCCTGCTCCACCCAGCGGCTACTCCACCCAGCGGCTACTCCACCTCTGCTGCTGTGACCTGAAGGGCTGTTGCTGATTATTACTATTATTAGCTTTTTAGAATCATCAATTTAGTTTTTTATTTTTGTTGCTAATGGACACCTACATTTCTGCGACGGGGATCAATAAAGTATCCATCGGCCTATCTATCTATCTATCTATCTAACTTACTTACTCTCGGTACCAGTCTGCGCCTCTGATCCTATAATCTCGGCTTCAAAACGCTGCATTCCACTCCTTTTAAAACTGTTTTTCATTTTTAATCCACCTCCAGATAAAAAAAAAAAAACATTGATGAAAGAACACACTGACACCGTTTCTTTCAGAATTGCAAAATATTTCACAAGCTCCGACAGCGTGAAGAGTGTGGGCCTTGGGAAAGCAAGATAAAGCTTTCCTCCACTGCACAGACCGAGTCCAGACTTTGTCCTGTAGACACTACTTTTAAAGACTGTTTGGACTTTGGCTCATGGTTTGTTCTTGTGTCAGTCCTGGATTCCAACTCAGGACACTGTTAAGATATTGTGAAGCAAAAGTTTATCTCTGGGAAAAGTACTAGTTATAATGTAAAATGAACAAAAGAGCGCATTTTGGACCTTCCAGTCACCAACCATTCACTCACACACATGTTATACTGGCTTTAGTGTCCACCAGAGCACTCGGGAGTAATATGCAGACACAGGGAGAACATGCAAACTCCACCCAGGCTGTTAAACCCAGGACCTTCTTGCTGTGTCACCAGGAGATGACCCGGGACACAATGAAGGAACCATGTCTCTCGGCTGGCCTGGGAACGCCTCTGGATTCCCCCAGATGAGCTGAAGGAAGCGTGTGTGGAGAGGGACGTCTGGGCGTCTCTGCTTAGACTGCTGCCCACGCCATCCGGCAACGGGTAAAGCGTAAGAAGATGGGTGGATGGATAGGTGTAAAGGAGGTTAAAAATGTTGGTTTATAGTTTCAACTCCATTCAATTCATTCTTGTATCGCCCTAAATCACAACAGTATTTTAAGTTTACCTTTGAATGCGCTGGAAAAACGGCTGCGAGTCCTAAGTGTCTCTGAAACAGTTGTTTTGTGTTTCATAATTTATCTTTTTCTTACTTTTTTTTACCCGAGATGTTGCTGCAGTACAGTGTTCATGGTTTTACACTGGTCCAGACCAGAGTAGAGAGTATTCATGGTCCGAACCAAGCGGATAAGGTGCTAACTTTTTGAATAATGCTAATGAAGCATATAGCATTTTACTTATGACTAGAGCTGAGAAAATGGCGGCTACTCCACCTTTTGACCTGTCCTGCTCCACCCAGAGACTACTCCACCTTTTGACCTGTCCTGCTCCACCCAGAGACTACTCCACCTTTTGACCTGTCCTGCTCCACCCAGAGACTACTCCACCTTTTGACCTGTCCTGCTCCACCCAGAGACTACTCCACCTTTTGACCTGTCCTGCTCCACCCAGAGACTACTCCACCTTTTGACCTGTCCTGCTCCACCCAAAGACTACTCCACCTTTTGACCTGTCCTGCTCCACCCAGAGACTACTCCACCTTTTGACCTGTCCTGCTCCACCCAGAGACTACTCCACCTTTTGACCTGTCCTGCTCCACCCAGAGACTACTCCACCTTTTGACCTGTCCTGCTCCACCCAAAGACTACTCCACCTTTTGACCTGTCCTGCTCCACCCAAAGACTACTCCACCTTTTGACCTGTCCTGCTCCACCCAGAGACTACTCCACCTTTTGACCTGTCCTGCTCCACCCAGAGACTACTCCACCTTTTTACCTGTCCTGCTCCACCCAGAGACTTCTCCACCTTTTGACGTGTCCTGCTCCATCTAGAGACTACTCCACCTCTGCTGTGACCTGAAGGCCTGTGGCTGATTAATGCTATTATTAGCTTTTTAGAATGATCAATTTAATTTTTGCTTCTATGGGACCAATAAAGTATCTATCTATCTATCACTCTCAGAGGACTTTACAAAACCGTTGAATCTGCCGACACAGATCAGAGAATAAAACAGTTAAAACACAACAAATGCAATGATAAAAACAAATGCGAGTGGTGTAATAAGCCAGCAGCCAGTGGGAGTTGATCTAAAGTGTGTGGAGGAGAGAACATGGACCTTCTCCGGTCTTGAATGGGCCTGAGGCTGACACTACACTGGGTGCGGAGGGAGTGGTCGCGCTGCATTGTTGAGAGTGGACTTCCTCAAGTGTTTGTGTCACACCCTGGTCTCCGTGGAAACCGTGCTCGTCAAAGGGCCTTTCAGGGTTAAACACAGTAACGTAAGCCATAGGAGAAAGTGCTACCGAAGCCTGCGTGGGTCAGTGCAATCAAAGTGCACAAGTGTCACCACCAACTGCTTTGGTCCTGGATTTATTTGCTTGATTTGTTTCCTTCAGTCTGGGAAATCACTTTTGCTATTTTACCAATGTTTTGTTGTTGTTGAGTTTTTAACATAAATCTATTTAATCTACAGAAACATAAATGTACATGTTTGACCAATTACTGGAAAATCAACTATTTTGTACAGCCCAAAATCATCAGATCCTTCTTGTTATTGCAGGGACTGCCCTCCTGCTGGGACTGGGGGACCACAGGGACTGCCCTCCTGCTGGGACTGGGGGAGCACAGGGACTGGCCTCCTGCTGGGACTGGGGGAGCACAGGGACTGGCCTCCTGCTGGGACTGGGGGAGCACAGGGACTGGCCTCCTGCTGGGACTGGGGGAGCACAGGGACTGGCCTCCTGCTGGGACTGGGGGAGCACAGGGACTGGCCTCCTGCTGGGACTCGGGAGCAGCACAGGGACTGGCCTCCTGCTGGGACTCGGGAGCAGCACAGGGACTGGCCTCCTG